TATCTTTCTAACCCTATGAATCGATTTTGCTTATGAAATAAAATTTTAGTATTTGTATGTGCCATCTTAATTAACGGGTTTGTTGTCTCTTTGGGTGAATCGAAACAGGTGCGTGTTCGTGTTCAAACTAGGACGATGACTCTGATGTTTATAAGTACGAAGGTGATTCAGAACAAAAACATTAGTCGGCTTTCTTACACTAAGTAACAATATCAAACTTATCGATGAGAAGGTAATTTAGGTCTTTCTTTTCTTGTCTACTTCCAGAAAAGAGTCGAACTTGCTTCTTAATGGGTTTGTTTGTTTGTTTTTTCTTTTGGGTGAAACAGGTGTGTGTTCGTGTTACTCAGATTAATGTTTTGAAAGATGATGGATTAGATTCAGAACAAATACGGCGTGTTCTTACAGTAAGTAACAACATCAAACTGATCGATTAAAAGGTATATATAGGTCTTTGTCTTGACTCTGCACCTCCTCTTCTCTTGTTCGTTTCCTCAAATTTGCGGTTTTCTTTGTTTTCAATTTTAGATGGGAATGTGACTCTGTTATTTTAATTTAGACTTCTAATTGTATATTTTTGTGCAGATATGATATGGTTTGAAGAATGAAGAAGATTCAGAACAAAAGGTGGTGTTGATGTTTTGCCTTTGAAATAAGAATTTGTTTTGTATATGGGATCTTAATTAATGCCTTTGTTGTTTCTTTCTTGGATGAAACGAAACAGGTGTGTGTGTGTGTGTGTGTGTTTGTGTTCGTGTTCCAACTAGGACGATGACTCAGATTTTTTCAAGGAAGTACCAAGTAGATTCAGAACACAAAAAGGTCGCTGACGTGTTCTTACAGTAACAACATCTTGTTTGCTTCCTCAAATTTGTTTTCGTTTACACTGTTGTTTTAACAAAGCTTATCTAATATTATATTTTTGTGCAGATCGAAGATATGTTATGTTTTGAAGAATGAAGAAGATTCATAACCAAACAAAAACAAACTTCACCCTAAGGTAACAACGTCAATTTGATATTTTTTCATTGTTTTCTTTGTTGCTTCTTTAGATGATGCAGATATACATATAGTTCACTTCTTCACATGTATAATTATAGGATTGACCGGCCCAAGTCAACAACAACAACAACAACAACAATGGGACAAATCCTCTGTAAGTAAGCACTTATTATGATTTTATTTATGTCTATTTAAAGTTGGATCACTTAACCAATAATACTCTCTTTTCTTTTTCTTTTGTGTGTTATATAACTTATCACCCTCACATTTCCTTCTCTACTCTCAGGATCCAGGCATTGTTGATGAATATTATATGTTGGAAGTATTGTTTTCGTGTCTCTCAGTGATGGATGTTCAGAGGACATGGCGTTTCTTCTTCAACTCTCATCGGACTTGACGAGAAACTCCACAATGAAAAAGGTAAAGTTTTGGGGGTTTACAGTGTGTTTCTTCAATCTCATCTGAATTCTTTTGAATATTGTTTTGTATACATGATCTTGATGATGGAGAATTTTTTGTTTTGTTGTATACATGATTCACTTTCTTCTCATTATTATTAGAAGGGATGATGTTGAATTATGGACTCAATCGATGGAGATATATGCAGTAAGTCATCTCAAATTCCTCTATACTCTTCTTTATTTTCTTCTGTTTCAAGTTTATCTATCTCCATTAACCAATCTCTTTCTGTTTTTGTTTTTGTGTTTGTTGAACAGCAAGTTGTTATTGAAGTGGAACTCGACAAGGCACCAAAATTCAAAGCAAAACTTGTGAACAAAAAGGTACTTGTCATTGCCTCATGCCAACCATTTTCCTTTCCACATGTTAGAAACAATCGAGGTACTCTCTGATACCTTTTAACTTTTCTCCTTTTTTGATTAACTTCTAGGATGGTGATGTTTTCCTAAAAGCGGGTTCTTAAGGAGATAAGTCAATGGACCTTAAGAAGCTGCAAACTGCTAGAAAGATGGTTAATCTACTGAGGAACCCATATGTACTCAGGCCAAAACACCAGTCACAGATGTCTCAAGCCAATGGCGGTTAACAGAACATGCTGAAAAGGTAGCTCACATTCTTAATTTATAACCATTATGATATCCAAATCTGGTTTCACCTTCCTCTTGTGCGTTTATTTTCTCATTGCAGCGAAAAGAGTGTCAAAACATAGCTAGCTCTACCAAACTGAATTGGGAAAATATAAACTAGAGGTACTCTCTGATTCCACAGGTAATAAACTACCAAGGTACTCTCCAATTCGTTTGAACTTTTCTTATATTTTTTTATTATTTGGGTGAAACGAAACAGGTGTGCGTCTGTGTTCGTGTTCCAACTTCCAACTAGGACGATGATTCAGAGTTTTTCAAAGAAGTATGAAGTAGATTCAGAACAAAACCGGTCAACGACGTGTTCTTATAGTTAGAACATCAAACTGATTGGTTAAAAGGTATATATAGGTTGTCTTGTCCGCTTCCTCGAATTTTCTTTTGTTTCAATTTAAGATGAGAATGTGACTGCGATTTTGTTTTCACTGAGATTGTTGTTTTAACAAAGTTTCTTCTAATTTAATAATTTTGTGCAGATCGGAGATATGCTATGTTTTGAAGAATGACGAAGATTCAGAACCAAACAAAAACAAATTTCTCCTTACGGTAACAACGTCAAACTGAGATTTTTTCATTGTTGTCTTTGTTGTTTCTCTAGATGATGAAGATACACATATAGTTCACTCTTTCTTCACATGTATAATTCTAGGGATGACCTGGCCAAGTCAACAACAACACAAAACAATGGGGAAAATCCTATGTCACTGTAAGTAAACTCTTATTAAGATCTTATTATGACTTTTCCTTCTGTTTCAAGTTTTATCACTAATCAATAATAATGATCTCTTTTTTCCTTTCTTTTGTGTGTTATATATGTTATCACCTTCACCTTCTCTTTTCTACTCTCAGAATCCAAGCATTGTTGATGAATAATATATGTTGGAAGCATTGTTTTCGTGTCTTTTCAAGTGATGGATGTTCAGAGGACATGGCGTTTCTTCTTCAACTTTCATCTGATTTGACGAGAAAGTCCACAAAGGAAAAGGTAAAAAAAATCTTGGGGTTTACTCTGTGTTTCTTCAACTCTCTCATCTGAATGTTTTGCTTTCTTAAATATAATTTTTGTTTGCATATATGATCTTGATGGTGATGGAGATTTTTTGGTTTTGTTGTTGCTGCTTTTCTAGATGATGGAGATATATGGAGATTTACTTTCTTCTCATAATTATTATTAGGGATGATGCTGAATTATGGACCCAATCGATGAAGATATATGTTGTAAGTCATCTCAAATTCTTCTCTGTGTTTCTATATTTTCTTTAGTTTCAAGTTTATCCATTTCCCTCAACCAATATTTTGTTTGTTTTTGTGTTTGTTGAACAACAAGTTGCTATTGAAGTGGAACTCGACAAGGCACCAGAATTCAAAGCAAAAATTGTGAACAAAAAGGTACTTGTCATTGCCTCATGTCAGTAATTCCATTATGCAGGCAATAAACAATTGAGGTACCCTCTGATTCCTTTTAAATTTTCAATTATCTTTTCTTTTTTTTTGATTAACTTCCAAGATATGCTGTTTTCCTAACAGCTGTTGCTCAAGGAGATAAATCAATGGTCCTTAAGAAGCTGCAAACTGCTAGAAAGATGGTTAATCACTTAATCTGCTTAGGAATCCGTCTGCACTCAAGCTAATAAACCAGTCACAACTTTCTCAAGCCAAAGGCAGTCATCAGAAAATTGTGAAAAGGTAGCTCATATTCTTAATTAATAACCAATGTGATACGTTCCTATTGTAATAGTGTTTTTTTTTTGTGCGTTTATCACTGCTAGCTCTACCAAAACTGATTCAAAAAAATAAAGCTATCAAAAGGCAAAGCTAGATGATAAACTATTGAAGTACTCTCTGATTCCTTTTAACTTTTCTATTTTTTTTTCTTTTTTGGGTGAAACGAAACAGGTGTTTCTGTGTTCGTCTTCCAACTAGGATGATAACTCAGATTTTTTGAAGGACGTACGAAGTAGATTCAAAACAAAAACGGGGGCTGGT